CGACTTCGTACATATCCCTTGTATCGGCGGAATATCGCTCTAAACTGGCTCCACTCCAGCCCTTCAGACAGCACCCCAATAGATGTAACTGTCTCCGCGGCCAGGTTATGGGCACTATCGTCTTCTGCCTGATCAAACACATAATGTTCAATAAGAGGTAAGAAAAAGGAGCTAATATTTGATGACTCAAACTTTCCTTGTCTAGCCTCAGTAGCCAGTCGCCGCAAGGCACGAAGACGACGATGTTGTTGAATATGGAGAATATTATTGAAAAACGATGCCTCTTCATCCCCACCTGCTAGTAAGTCCACCATGTCGGTCACGGCCCGATGGTTCGGGTTATGCGTTATGAAATAACCCAAGACAGAGACGAACTCGGCCCGAACTATCTCGGCAGGGTGTTTTGCTCCGTTCCTCAACGCAGGCAACAAAGCTTTCTCGAGCAAAAATGAGTAGTCTTCGCTATCACCCTCTGGTTTTGAACCCACGCTCTCGATAAACCTTTTCAGTCCAAATGATGAACTTGATCGAATTGCAAGTTCCTCCTCGTCTTTAACATGGTATAGAAGATTGAATAACAGCGGGCGCCATTGCCTAGCTGTGAACTCCTTGTACTTCTGTTCGTTTATTGTGTTAAATGCCCTAAGCCGTCGGTCGAAATCTAATTCATCAAGCTTTTTCTCTGATATAGCGTTGAGGTCTGCACATAATTCGGCAACACCTTTTAGGTCCACTTCGTGGTTTGCAAATGCAGACAACACGGATGAGAGCATAGCACGGTTCGGGTTATCTTTGAAGTAATCGAATAGGGAGGAAATTACTTCAAAGATTCGCTGGTTGAGGTCCACATTTTGGCGTGGATCATATAGGGGGAGGAAATGATGCATAACACGCAGAAGTCCGCTTTTGGCTTTGGGGGGTACTCGATCTGCAGGTTCGTTAAGGAGAAATGTAGCCGTACTAATTAGTTTCGTGGTTTCTTGCGATGACTGGACAAACGGCGCGAGTTTAGATAGGGTCTCAATTGCAGCCATCGTAAGTTGCCGCGTAGATTGATTCCTGAGCAGGGATTCGACATGTGTCAATATGTGTTCAACATTGGGTGCCAGCACTTTAGACCAGATTAGATCTGTTGTTGCGGCATCTGGCAAATTCTCTGGGTCGTCTGTCTCGCCATTCGCGCGACTGACGAGGTTGTTAAGAATTTCATTCAGAACAAATATCTTGACGTCTTCGCGAGCAGATTCAACGCCAAGGCAGTCAACAATTCGTTGAATGACCTGTTGGTCAGCATGCAGGAAGTAGAGAGCTGACTTGGGGCTGGACGCCCAGGTGTGGAACAGATGAAGAAGGCCGGACACACTTTGCGCTGTTTCCACGGCGAAATTTCCTAATCTTGGGCTGATGATCTCGTTTAAAATCAGGGGTATATATGGAGTCCAATCATAATCGGGCGAAACAGAAAATATCAGATCGAGACAATGGACACCTGTCTGCCGAGTATTGCGGATGAGAGACGAATGATTCTCTTCTGAACTGGCATCGTTCAACTGCCTGCAAGCTCTGACAAGACAGTATAGAACTACGTTCATGGAGCGGTCAACGAAAGGTGACATCTTGGTTTTCAGGGTTTCGAACATAGTTTCCACCATCTTCAGAAGGCCATATTGCTTTCTAACACCCATCACCTCCTGATTGAGGCACTGGCCATGTCCAGGGTCGGTTTCGAGGACGCGAATATCGCTCAGGGGACCAAACGCTATTTGAACGAAGTGACCAAAGTCGCTTTCAGAGAGTTGGGATATTGTTCTTAAAATGGTCTTTCTGCGTGCCTCTTGGGTCCCCTGTCCACCCCTAGAGCCCCCACGGGCGACAATCTTGCCATATAGAAGTCTCAGCAGAATAGGGAATAGCTCAGCACGATGATTTTCCTTAATCGTACTAGCCTCCTGGCCAGCATTTAAGAACACTGATAGTTCATCTCGGAATCTCGCATCATCCACAATATTCAAAATGTTCGTCTCGTAAGGTTGAATTGCAGGTGACTTCCATGTGAAAATAGCCTTCAGTGCAGATTTTTGAATTTCAGTATCTCCATTACCGAGAAGGCCAAGCAAAGCTTCATGGACCTCTGCTGCTTTGTATAAAACTTTGGGGTTGACGAATTTTCCGAAGATGTCCAGCATAGCTTTCCGGTCACGCAGATTCCAGGAAGAAACAGAACTATCATCTGTGCCACTTGTACCAGAAGGCTTGGATTCGTTGGCGGTAGGGATGTCATCATCATGAGCTGCCCATATCAGGAATAGAGGAACAAATTGCCGAGATCGTTTCTCCGCCACTTGAGGTACAGATCCCAGGACCTTGAGGGCCTGTGTTCGACTAGAAGTAGAACGTTGAGGTTCCGTAACATGAGCACGCTTGAAATCTTCTGCGAGCAACGAATTAGAGTTGCGGGAGTCAGCGAAAGTCGCACACATAGTTTTCTCGACATTTGAAACGTTAAAGCATTCGAATTCCGACGAAATATGCGATTCAGCGGATTCTTCTTCGGGGGTATTTGCATTGGTTCCAAGCGGACTAGGCTCTTGTAGCCCGCGCATGGCGAGCTCCGTAACAATGCTTTCTCCATTTGGAACCTCGCAAATTGCCTTGATTGCCTCACATGCGTCATCCCACAGCGACGCGAGCCGTTTAGATAGCAAACCAAAACAGAAATTTGGAATAATTCGATCCAACCACTTTTTGGAACACACCGTTGGGTATGCAATCGCAAGTTTGCGTACCTGCATGGATAGAGCCCTTGATGCATGCAGAGTAAGCTCGCTCTGTTCGATTTCGATCGCTATTTCTATGCAAGTACTGTCGCTATCGTTCACCCTGGACAATAAAACTTGGAGAATCTTGAGTGACAATTGTCTGATGTCGTGCGATGGGCCAGAAAGGTTATTAATCAGAGTTGTAGCAAATGGTTCAAGGTCTGCGTCCGGGACCTGCTCGTATTTGGTACAAGCAGACAAATAAGCCAAGGTTGCTTCAAGGAAAACCGGACAATTTGAGCACTCAGGGCCGTTGGACACTATCATACTCCAAAGACCTAAATCAAGTGAGCCTAGTTCCGTAGCAAGGCGGACGTAAGCCAAAAACCCTTGGCCTCGGGCAAATGTGACCTGGCCCTCTCCAACGTTGGGGGAGAGTGCCATAGCAATCTTTAACCGATCGTGGAGGCAGTGGGTTAGCTGTGGAAGAATCGAGGGCTCGGAAGTGAGTGATATAGCCTCATGGAGTTTGGTATAGGAATGTAGGAAAGCGATATCCTCGGCTGTGGGATCGAGTTTGCTGAATCTTTCCACGATAGCCTCCTTCCAGCCACCAGGGCAATTTAAAGATCCGGGCCTGTTAGGTTGAGACGTGACGAAATGGGCGGCATGAAGTTTGGGTAATATCTGACAAAGTCCAGATTCGTAATCCTTCCAGAACGAAGTAATGAACCTAAAGCCAAAATGTCATGAGATGTATCGAAATGATATTTTGATTCACGAGTCACTTACCGCTGAAAGTATGGGAGTACAACGCTTTGAAATCGATCGGTCCCGAAAGTAGAGAATAACGAGCAAAACGGGAAGAAGTAGTCCCGCAATCGGTCGCCGCTAATTAACTCCATAATAGGACGCATAAACGACAGCAATTCGTCCATCGGGGACGTATGCACGGCAGTCACCACGGAAGCTAAAAGGAGTTGAACTGAATCCGCCGGGATATTGGGCGATTTAGCGATGCGACCAAGAAGGGTCATGAGAGTTTGATGTACTCTTTTCCAGTTGCTAACTCTAGAACCCTTGCGCGCGGTTACGGCAACAAAAATCAAGCGGATGTCAATCTTCGTCGCTGCAATGTTACCATTCGGTTTAGCGGATCCAATGTGATCACAGATCACATCAAGCACCGAACCAAAGGTGTTTGAGGATGTGTGATGAACCAAATTAATTACAACCCCACTAAGAACCTGCTCTGCGAGGGCGCTTTGGGCTTCATCTTTCACAGCGGCGGCACTGATTAGGCAACGTATGATGTCAGCTCCATTCGAATGGATACCACCATTCACTCCTTTAATCGCATCAGAAAACATTGACATAAGGCCTTGTTGATACATTGAAATCTGACGTTCCCCATCAGTGCTGGCGAGATCCTCAAAAAGGAACGTAACGGCTCTGTCGAGTGGCGCCTTATTTTTGTAGTAGACAAGCGCGGCCTTCCGAACCAGGAAGGACATCGACTCCGCAGCAAATCTTGTCACAAAGTGTTTTTGCTTTTCCTTCCCAAGGTACGGGGACATTATCCCGAGTAGTTGGCGTAAGTCCGGAACAAGGAGGCGGGACAGGAACTTGAAAATCCATGCCAGACATGTAAAACTCCATTCTATAACCTCGATATTTGGATGTGTGGCTGCGACGGAGGCCACCAACGTGACGGTCGACGCAAAGTGTCTTTCGAATCGCTGGCCCAAGTCTCGCGCAAACTGAGCTACAAGACTCAGCAGCGGTTCCATGCTCAACTCATCTCTTTTCCCGATATACTCGGCCAATAATCCCATTATTCGATCTTCATGATGCAGAATCTGCGGTAAGCTTTCGCAAAGCCGATTAACTCGCTGGGAGAACTGAGTGAAGTTTTCTGACAGGTTAAGTTCCACCCAGTGCTCCAGGGAGGCCCTGAAGTACGAATCGGACTCAGAGTCGCTGTCATCGCCAACGCTGGCCCGTCGCACACGATGGATAGGATCGATTTTTAATTTGGCGACGCGCTGGGAGAAAGACTCGAATCGGTGGGATTTTGTCGTAGCTGTGCCCTTCTTTAAGAGCTTGGCAGGCTTGCCCTGGCGCCCAGAATGTGCTGTCGCCATGTTGCAGGCTGCCAAATTGGAAAACGAAGGTGTCTTCAAGAACCATTGATACAGCTGGGAAACATTTTGAAGCTTCAAAAATATTTAGGGTTTTATCGCCGCGGTCAAATGATAATCCGATCTTATCTTATCTGATGATGCTGTAAACCACGTGATATCTTGCCCCAACTCCCCAGCATTTGCTCTGCAAAGCCTTTAATTTATGTCCATTACCGACATTCACCTTTTGAGCGCTACTATTTGTTGGAACAATTGAGCTGGAATTCATGGAGAAATTCAACCAGGTTTCTGTTAAGTCTCAATACAGGGTTTGAAATCTCATCAGTACACATACATAATTAGATAATGCACGCCTGCTCTGTAGACATGAAACTAGAACACCCATTTGCGTCAATCCACCACACAACTTCCAATCAGTAAGCCACATATGTCAATACTTTTGAGGCATTCCAAGCCAAAGGAGAGCTCGTTACAATACCAGGATAGTGTACCAAGAAGCTCCGATACAAGCTGCCTGTATGCTGTCGTGTGTTTGTGCATGTGGGTGGGTTGCATATCGGATCAGTGTGTTTTTAACCCCACAGTTTGGCAGCAGTTGTTCCCTTGTACCCTATATTTGGATAATCTACTAGATACGTCAGAATTTAATCTGTATACTCCAGACCAGGGCTCTCTCTTTAGAGTGAAGTCGATAGATGGAAATGCAAGCGAAAGAAGATCTGGGTATGGCTTACTCGGGTCGTAGAAAACGATATAGCCTCGACTGTTTTCAACTCCAATCTTGGCCTTCAGGAACTCCGTAAAGGCCTCGGAGTAGCAAATGTTATTTTCGGGTGTGAGATTTCCCAGAGATGTTATGCGTAGCTGGAAGCCTGATTGTTCCAAATGGTCAACACTGTGAAATTATGGTTTCGAAAGAACAAGTATGGATGGGATTAGATACATGGATCGTGGGTGCCTGCAAAAGTCAAGATTTCATCGGCACGAACTTGAACTGAAATTAGAGATTCGGGCTTTTGAAGGATCTCTGCTGCTGTTTTGGACAGCGATAAGGCGAGATCCTTACTCTGCTCGCGGGAGAGCGCGACATTCGTGAGCAACTCAAGAAAAGGCATTTCGGGTAAAAGTTACGAAAAACCAAGGGCGTGCGAGAGTCAAGTGTATACAGAAAACTTGACCTGGCTAAGTGCGCCACTTGACCTCGTTATGTAAGCTGACCTCGCAAATGTGGCCCGTGCCACTACCTGACCTCGCTCAATACATCTTTTCTTGTAATTTGAAACCACTCAATTATTTACCATCAATTCTACAATCAATTCAAAATCAATTTAAAATCAATTTAAAATCAATTATTAAATATTTTTATCTTAATATATTTTAAAATTCTGTAAAACATCTCTTTATATTCTATATGAATTTATCTATTTATTTAATTAATTATGAATTAGTTATACATGCTTTTTAATTGATTAATGAGCTAAATGAATGAATAAATGAGTGAATTGAAAGATTGAAAGTCAATTACCAACTGATTATTACTGTATTGTGCGAGGTCGGGGTCATGATTATGTAATAAGATCAAGTGACGCACTTAGCAAGGTCAAGTTTTCTGTAGAATAGTTAAAGATTGTATTGATAGATCTATCTATAGAAATATATTATAGTAATGAGTCATGTGATCTAGTGAGATTGCTAACTGCAACAGCTGTAAGAGTCAACACTCTCTCTCAAGATAACAAGAATTACATACAAAAACACTTAAATTATCAAGATAGTCTGTCAAAATTAAATACAAATGTAAAATTAAACATTTTCAACTTTTACATCTGTAAGACCTAGTAAAATCATGAATTATGCAAATATCACAGTATCTAGAGATTTAGTGAGTTCATTCACTATCATCTGAGTAGTGAGAATATATTCTAAATCAAGAATTCTTTAATTCAACTGCTAATGTGAAAAATAGAAATACATGTCAATATGCTTACTTCAGACTGTAATGACTGCTATCTTTATAAGATCTATGATACTCTTATTATCAGTGAGAATCTGTATCAGAGATATAGTGATGAAGTCAAGCTTAATCATAAGATTTCAGATTTATGTTGTCTCACAGATCACCTTACTAAGAGTCATATATTCAGTCTCATTGAAACTCAGAGTGTGGTTCGGAAGAACATACAACTGTCGGATAATAGCGCGGCCGCTTCCGAACTACTAGCGTACGAATGTAAAGAGGGCTCTAGCAGCCACTAATTAATTTAGTGTATGAGATTCAATATATAAGAAGCCGGCATATGCCTGTAATTATATGCTGACTTAAGCAATCTTTGAATCACATCTGATAGCATGTCTAAAAACTGATGAGAAGTGCAGACTTCTTCAGAGTGTGATAATTTCATCTATGAAGTGATTTATAGTTATTATACCAGTGTGGTTCTAGAAATGTCTCAAAAGATAGTATATGAAGAGTAGTGAGTGAAAGAGCATCTGATTAATACTGCTTTACTTGTTAAGGGAAAACTCCATACTCAGGCAAATGCCATGTATAAGATATGAATAGATGAGATGTGAGAAAGAAAATAAGAGCAGTGAATCAGATTCAAAGAAGTTCACTCCTTACTCAAAAGAAGAATAAAAGAGAGAGTGATTATCACTAAACTGACCGTGTGACCGTGTCTGAGACCAGGACCAGATTTTTTGATAGTTCTATTATCAATTTGACTGATCTCATTACACAGTTTTAACATTAGATAGTAGTTTCATACTGTCTCAGTAAGACTTACTGTCTACTCTTATCACATTTTTCAAATGAGACCATGATTTCCACTTCTCAATTTAAATTATTTTTATGGCTTTAAATGACTTTAAATCTTATTTAAGCATTATCAAAAAGTGTTACTTTTTAAAAAATTAAAAATAGTTTAAAAAAACCTTAAAATGTCTAAAAATAGTAACTTTATGCCAAGAATGAGACTAAATGAGATCAAATGAGATCACTTTCTCATTTTTTTCAAGTCATGATTTCATTTTAAGATCTGATATATAGTCACTTTTAGACTGATCATGTGACTGTGTCTGAGACCAGGATTAAACTTTACAGTTGTCACATTGCCTAAAAGTATTACTTCTGATCATGGTTTGTGTTCATCACATTGATCTCAAATCACATTATTTCAAATATTAAAGGTCTCAGATTCACTTTTCAAATAAAAATCTAGTCTCAGATAAAGAATATATTTGAATTCTTAGTCACATTTTCATTCTGATCTCATTATTGAGAATGACATCAAATGAGATCATGAAATCACTTCTCACTTACATAATATCATAACATAGTGCTCATTTGTTGAAAATTCAACAGAGAGTGTTATCAAATATCATTACTTTTCTGAACACAGATTATAATTCATATAATTTTAATTATGAAAAAAACATAAAATACAAAAAAAAACAAAAAACAAAAAACAAAACAAACACAAGAAAAAATCACATTAAAAAAAAAAAAAAGAAAAGGAAAAGAAAAAAACAAAAAATAAAAATGAAAAAAATCAAGGTCACAGAGCTGCAGCATCTCTAAAATACTCACTTCTCAGAGTCTTCACAATGTTCATCATCAACTGTGTATTTCTCACAGTGAGAATAATATGACTGTGATGAGCTATTGTCTTAACATCATCTAATAAATAATCAGTATATATCTGTATAAATGTGAATAATTAGAAAACATACACTTAAAAAGTGTGGTCAGAGTGGACTCTGCTGCTACTTGAATAGTATCAAGGACAGAACACTGAAATCAATGATTCTTCTCATCAATTTCACAGACAAGGCATGTGAAGGTGGTCTTGAGAAATATAAGATTCTCTGACTTCTGGTAAAAACAGATCTCATGGAGAGACTCTATTTTCATGATATCAGAGACTGAGTGTTATCAAAAAGTGTTATTTTCATGCAATGCATATGCACTTACTGTGATGATTCACTCTCTGTGTACATGACTGAGAGTTGCAGCTTTCCCACACTGCACAGCTCTCCCTGAGATGCTGTCATCAGTTTGCAACCCAGACAGCCTCTCAGTTCAGCACACACTGTGTGTATGCAGCCCTGCATGCTGAGGCTGTGTTGGCCATTATGGCCTGGCATGGTACTCACTTTTCATGAGCCATGTTTCATTTGAGGGAGAGGGAGAGGAAGACATGACTGTTGTTTTATTGAGAGAAGAATGAATAATTAGTATTATTAAATTAATTTGATTCATCTGCATTTAAAATTTGATTAGTTTATACTCTTCAATTTGAGAGTTTCTATGAGTGTTTTAATAGTTTTCATATCAGCTTGAACTTAGTGATGAATTGAAGAAGAAGAGAAAAGAGAGAAGAAAGAAATGAGAATAACTTATCTTTATAATATGAAAACAGAGAATTGCTGCAATCATTCTTCCTAGTAACAAAGATCTGTTTTCTGCATGTATCCCTGATATAGATTATATGATAAATGCATATAAAGAATATCAATAGTGCATGCATTGAATGAAGATAATATTGCTATACAACACTGTAGCTGTTTCTGTACATCTCTGAAAGCTGTTAATAGTTTCTTTGTCTCTTTATGTTTGATAAGTCAATAATATATTCTGATGCACTCTCCCTTTCATCATCATCATCATCATCATTATTATCATCATCATCATCATCATCACCATCATCATCATCATCATCATTATCATTATCATCATCATCATCATCATCATCATCACCATCATCATCATCATCATCACCATCATCATCATATCATTGCCTGCCTCCACTCCTTCTTCAACACTCATCAAAACCAATCATGTTATCCCTCTTCAAATATTCTGCGGTCCTGTGGACCACTAAGGCGCGTGAGCGCTGTCACAGATTGAAGGGAGAGGAGAAGAAGGCATTCAAGCACGAGGAGACAGATCACAAGACATATTATAATGTCTTGAAGAGGCTCTGCAAGAGAGCAGAATGATAATGATTTTAAGTAACACTTCTGATAGATTTAGACTGAACTAAGTATAGGAATAATGCAGATGACACTGCCTGTGAGAGATTGAAAAAGAAGACAGTGAAGAGCCTCATGCAGCAGTGATGAAACTAGGAGAAGTTCTGAGAATGATTTAAGGCCAAGATGAAGAGAGAGAGAGAGAAGAAGAGTGTTACTGTAAATAAGCAGCAGCAGAAGAAGATTGAGAAGGTATTAAAGTAGAAGACAAAGAAGCCAAAACTGATAAGTTTTTTATTAAGAGATAACAATTTTTGATAATACTTCTGTTCTCTAATTGATTAGCAGGAGCTGGCAGAGAAGGAGAGGATTGAGGCCTTATTCAGGTCTCAAATGCACTTCATGATTCAGGATATTAAGGAGACAGCCCTGCTCTCTGAACATGTCAATCTGCTTATCACTGGGATGGAACCCAAGGCAGCAGACCAGAAAATGCGGGATTTTGAGGCACAGGTTGACCTGGCTGAGAGGGAGCAGCAGAAACCCTTCTCTGAGAAGACAGTGAAGAGAGATTTTGAGATGATTATCATCTCAGATGAGGAGAAGGAGAAGAAGAAGAAGAAGAAGAAGAAGAAGAATGAGAAGTGAATTGTGAAGAATGATAAGAAGAATGAGAAAGAGAAGAAGTAGATTTTTTTCTTTTTATATTAGTTAGTTATAAGTTTAAGTTTTTAATTATTAATAATTAAAATTGATTTTGAGTTTTCAAAAATTATTGTACAAGTTGTAATCAAGTCAGGAATGATATATATATATATATATATTTAACTATCATGATTCATAAATCACTATAATGTATAAGTATCAACATTTTTTCAACATTGATATTCATAATATTAATATATTTTTAATGATATCATCTGATAATGCAATTTGATAACACTCTCTTTCACAATATTAATATATTTCAAGAAATATGACAGAGATTAATCAAGATTGTTTATTTACTTTTATACATCAATGATATTCAATCTGAGTTAGTACTAAAATTATAACTAAGCTAAGAAACAAGATTATTTTCTCTTATATTAATTCTTCTTACACACATCAGTGATCAGTTATTGAAAATAAATTATCATCTTTCTCAAATTATTATCATGTCTTCTGAATTCACTTCTTTCACTTC